CTCCCCCCCCCCCGCCGCAGCAAAATAGTCCCCATGCTGCAGCAGCAGCAGCAGCAGGTCCTCACTGGCAAACGTCGCAGCAGCCCGCATCGTCCCACACATTTGTGAGGCCTCTCCGCTGCAGCAGCAGCACAGCAGCAACAGCAGCAGCAGGGCGTGCACTGCAGGGGCAGCAGCAGCATTGGGACGCGTGGTGGCAGCAGCAGCGGAAACATGTGCCAGCAGAAATTTCAAAAATTCAGCAGCAGCAGCAACAGCAGCAGCAAGGGGGCGCCAGAAACAGCAGTAGAAATACGAGCAGCAGCAAGATGATCAGCAGCAGCAGCAAGATGTTCAGCAGCAGCAGCAGCAGAAGCAGCAGCAGCAAGAGCAGCAGCAATCACCTGAGACACGAGATAGGGGGTGCTGCTGCCAGCAGCTGGCTGTCAAGAAGAGACACCCCAAGAGAGGGGCCCTTCTGCGCTGTCTCCTCCTCGCTTAGGGCCCCTTGCCAAGCAGCAAAGCTGCTGCTGGTGCTGCTGCTGCTGCTGTTGCTGGTGCTGCTAGAGAGGGCTCGGTTGTCCGGTGGCTGCCGCTGCTGCTGCTGCTGCAGCAGGCGGCGCACCGGAAGCAGCAGCAAAGCTGTGAGGGCCTGCATGAGGGTCACCTGCCTGGTGAGTGCAGCAGTAGGGTCTGCAGCAGCAACAGCAGCAGCTGCTGCTGCTGCTGCTGCTCCTTTTGCTGCAGCTTCCCGCATGCTCCCCAGCAGTGCTGCTGCTGCAGCAGCAAACAGCTGCTGCTGCGCCTCCACCGGAAAAGCCCACCCGTACATTTCGCAGAAGCGAACCAGCACAAGGCACCTGCAAGCAAGCAACAGCAGCTCAGCTAGCTGTCTGGCTAGCTAGCTAGCTAGCTAGCTAGCTAGCTAGCTAGCTAGCTAGGTTGCTAGCTGGCTAGCTAGCCAGCTAGCCAGATGGCAAGCTATTTAACTATCTTGTTAATTAGCTAGCCTGGCAGCTAGCTAGATGGCTAGCTATTTAGCTACCTTGCTAGCTAGCTAGCTAGCTGGCCAGCTAGCCAGCTGGCTAGCTAGCTAGCCAGCAGGCTGGCTAGCTAACTATCTACAGAGCTTCAGAGGCTGCAGCGGCGCCTCGCGCCGCAGCAGCAGCAGCAGCAAACTAGCAGCAGCAACAGCAGTCCTCCAACAGCAGCAGCAGCACAAGCACCATTACCAACACCAGCAACCGAACCTGCAGCAGCAGCAGCATCAGCAGCGCCAGCAACGTTAGCAGCGGCAACGGCATAAGCAGCAGCAGCAGCAGCAGCAGCAGCAGCAGCAGCGGCAGCAGCAGCATCACCTGC